ACTGTCGGAGGGGGGGTGGGATTGGCAGTTGAGGGAAACTGGTAGGGGAAGGAGGGGCATACCTCATCAATAAGGGTACCTGCATGATCAATGTTTATATATCTAACCCTGAAATGTATCCCACATCTTTACAATAATTTCTTTAATGGGCAAAATACATGAATAGACACTTCTCAAAAGAATATATGCAAGCAGCCAATAGACACATGAAAAAATGCTCAGCCTCACTAATCAGCAAAGAAATGCAAATCAAAACCACACTGAGATACCACATAACTCCAGTAAGAATGACCATTATTAATAAAACAAAAAACAACAGATGCTGGCAAGGATGCGGAGAAAAGGATGCGGAGACACTGTTGGTGGGAATGCAAACTAGTTCAACTTCTATGGAAAACAGTGTGGTGATTCCTAAAAGAACTAGAAATTAACCTTCCATACGACCGAGCAATCCCCCTTCTGGGAATACCCGGAGGAATTTAAATCACTGTACAAAAAAGATACCTGCATGTGCCTGTTTATTGCAGCACTCTTGACAATAGCAAAAACATGGAACCAACTGTGCTGCCCATCGAAACTGAACTGGATAACAAATATGTGGTACATATACACAATGGAATATTATGCAGCCATAAAGAAGAACAAAACTCCTCTTTCGGGTTCTTGCTTCCAAGATGACAAAGAAGAGAAGGAACAACAGTCGTGCCAAAAAGCCATGGCCACATGCAGCATATTTGCTGCACAAACAGCGCCTGATGCGTACCCAAGGTTAAGGCTATTAAGAAGTTCGTCATTCAAAACATAGTGGAGGCCACAACTGTCAAGGACATTTCTGAAGTGAGTGTCTTCAACGCTTATGTGCTTCCCAAGCCGTATGTGAAGCTGCATTTCTGTGTGAGTTGAGCCATTCACAACAAGGTAGTGAGGAATTGGTCTCATGAAGCCCGCAAGGACCAAAAAACCCCACCCCGATTCAGACCTGCAGATGCTGCCCTACAACCTCCACCAAAGTCCATGTAAGGAGTTGAGTCCTTAAGGACTGAAGAATAACTTATCTGGGAAAAAATAAAATGGAAATTATACTTTAAATAAAGAACAAAATTATGAACTTCGTAGCAACTTGGATAGATTTAGAGTCTATAATATGCAGTGATTTATCACAGAAACAAAGTACTGAGTACCACAAGTTCTCACTCATAAGCAGAGCCTGAACATTTACCATAATACTAAAAAAGGGGGGGATTGGCAGTAGCTGGAAACTTCGGGGGGGGAGACACATAACATTAATAAGCATATCTGATCTCAAACCAGGCAAAGTGGGGCAAAAGGGAGGCCCAAACTTTACCTGCACAATGACCACTTGTATAACTAATTCTGAATTGTACCCACATCTTTAAAATAAAAATAAGACAAAAGAAATAAAAGTATAGTATAATGTGTAATGTTGAATATGCTTTTTCAACCTACACACGCAATTATGGAGATTCTTACACACCTTCCTAGGGAAGTGAGCCTCTTGGGATGAGAAGGAAGCGTTTACAGTCTAGTGGGGCAAAGAAGCAAACTGATAATTATGATGATGAGTTCAAAGCGAGGACTTTAGGGACATGGGGGTGATTGTGGATTTAATCTGGACATGGAAGGGCAAGGAAGGTTTTTTTTTTTTTTAATTAAAAGCCTAAAGTGAGCTTTTAAAGGCTGAGTAGTCATTAGGCAGGCAATGGAAGGGCATTTCAGACCAAGGGAGCAACAAAGTAAGAGTCCAGAGGCAGAGATGATAGGACCACTTTGAGTGGTACAGTTTGGCTGGTAACTAGAGAACAGTGGTGGTAGCAAGGGATCACCTGTGGTCTCTGAATACACAGTTCCAACAGCTTCCCCCAAATAAACACAACATAGTAAAAACAGTATGTTTGCCATGCCAGAGTGACTTCATAATACAAGTTCCCCAGTCCCACCCGACCATCAACATATTAATCATAAGGTCATACACAATATAACTAAAGGAGGTACAGTGAAGGGAGCAACGGACTGGAACTTAGCAATAAGTCACTGTGGCCCTTCCTAGTGAGGTCAGGTGCCCCATTTGTAAAATGAATAGTTGACCCTGCGCTGGATGATCTTTAACGTCCCTTGGCTTTGTATTTGCGAAGAACCTCACCTTGCATATGTTACTAGAAGATCAAACATAAAGGTCTGTAGACCTCCACAAAGGCCCAGGCTACCCAGCAACAAATTCTCCCGACCCCTACTTCATCATTTCATAAAAGACAAAGTAATCTCATTGCTATGTTTCGTATCAGTTCATACATAATTTTGGTTAGAAAGCAGTGGTCTAATGGGTAAAATAATCAGCTACAGGTTAGGAAATCAGAGCCTTATAAAAAAGCCTTCTCTCAGACCCTTACAAAAGAAAAAACCTGAGGGAATTTTAGTTATTAACTAGTTTTTGCCTCAGTCTTATCTGAACTTCTAAAAAGAAAATATGCAAGGTGTTGATAAAGATAAAATCTACAAATAGAGATATTTGATTTAAGCCTGCAAAGAAAATTTACCAACAATGACCAATTTAAAAATTAGCTCCTTAATGAATCACAAATTTCACAATCAGAGTCAAGGCAAGCTTCCAGACTTGACCATGCATCACAATTACCAAGACCTCCTCCTGAAAGCAGGTAGCTTTGGGGAACCTCCGATTGAGATTTTAATTCAGTAGGAGGGTAGATTCAGAAGTTGCCAGTTTCACAAACTCCTCAGGAGATACTCACCAGAGGTACTCATGGGACTGACCACACTTTGTAAAAAGCTGAATCTAATAGGAATGAGGGTAAAGGCACACAGGAGTGAATCATCTAGAAATTAGGGTATGGACTTCAGGTGCCTTTCCCAGGCAGTATGTTAACAGAGCAGATAGCTATGCCTGGGCCTGGATGGGTACCTACTCATCCACTCACTTAATAAATATTTATTGTGTGCCCATATGGATTAGGTGCTGTATTAAGCACTGGGAATTACAGAAGCAAACAAGTGAGTTCCTTGCACTCATATTAATGTAACTTTTTACAACCTTCCCGACCTACCTGTTAAAATTGCAGTGCTTGCTCAGTGAATCCTATAACCCAGAATGCTCCCAGTGATTCTGCTACACAAAAAGGAAGAATGAAAAAGGACATAGCTGTTTTGTTTCTTCAAGACTAGCCTTCCAAGCTGCTGGACATGAAAGCTTTCTTAGCCTACAAGAAGCACCGCAGAACATACTGGAGGTGCTTCCTACCTTGTACAGTTTGCGGTGTGGGAGGGTGAGATGGCTTATCAGAGTAAGCCCTGTCAAGGTAAACATCCCCCCTACCTGGGTTAGCCAAATGGCAATGTTCCCAGTAAAGTACATCCTACAAGGATACCCTGTCCTGCCCCTGGCCAGCATCTCACTTCTGGACAAGCAGGTATTCTGCCAAACCTACCTTCCTAAAGCACAAAGTGGGTGGTATTACCCCCTGCCCCAGGATACAATCTAAAGTACTGGGCCAGGCATTTGAAACCCTCTACACTTTGGCCTCTACTTCCCCTACCCATTTCCTATGATCCCCTGAGCCCACTTTGCTGCTTCCTCTTTCTCAACCTTTGTTAAATTCTTTTCCCTGTTGGCATCCCTGTATACTTCCTACCCGTTTTTCTGGGGCCAGTTCAAAAGCTATCTGTCCTAGAAGCTGTGACCCTCTCTGCAAGGAGAGCCTTTGTCCTCTGAATTCTGCACAACCCTTGGATGTTTTTCCCAGAGTTAGTAGCACTTTCTTGGCTACATAATTTATCTTCCAACTTAGAATGTCCTTTATAAGAATAAGGATTGTTTTATGCCTTTTTATATTTCTTATTGGCACCTAGCAAAGTGCCTCAGGATTTGTGGAGTGTCTCAATAGCAAGTTTTTTTTTATTACATCAGGGAATTTGTTTTGTTATATTGTTTTAATGCATTGGTCGATTACAAATCTACTCCAAAGGCCACACTAATGAAACAGAAACAACTCTGTAATATGAACATAAAGACAAGGTTTTACTTATCTATTTTATGCACTGGTTTTGGGAGACTCTGGGGAGATTTGGGTATTTTAACTTCCTCTCACTTTTTTAATAATCACAATCCCATCTCCTCCCTAACCCCACCTACTCTACCTGCATCACACCCTTATTCAAAACCACTTTAACCTTTTAGGTGCCCTACGGCCTTCACATCCAAATTTTTTTCACCCTTACCACTCTCCTCATATTCTTTCAGCCAGAGAAGGTAGATCTTCCATTACTCCTGGTTGCAAAGTGCATCTCTCAGACAATTTCAGGAATTCCAAGGCTGCCCTAGTATCCACATTGGTGAACCTGGGTACTCATGAGCTTGCAACTCATATAAGATCTGTGGTATTTAGGGGCATTCCAAATATAGAAAAGTAGTTTCCAGTTCAAACACAAAGATTCTACTTGCTGATTTCTAAATTGATCTATTTTGCTGCTTTTTCTAAAATATAATGGATTTTAATGTTTTACTGATTTTTATTTATTGATAAGGGAGAACATGTATTAAGTACCTTTAGGTGCCAAGCATTGTGCTAGACACTTGAAATATGGACTTCATTTGATCCTCACAACGACCTTAGGAGGCACACAGTTTCATTTTACAGATGAAAACTGAGGTCAATATACATTAGGTAACTTGCCCAAAATCATGCAGTTAATCTGTGGAGCCAGGATCCCACTGTTGGCCTTTTCAATACAAAGCTCATGCTCTTTTAGTTATACCATGCTGTACCATTAATGAAAATCCAGAAGTTCATTCTGACTACTTGGTCTTCCACTTCAAAATGGAGATCATCAGAAAGATGTAACCTCTGCAAAAGTTAACTTTTCACATTCCTAAGAAAAAAGAGCACCACTGGGCCATCATCTTATTTTATCAGGATATCAATTGCTGGTTTCGTTTTCCTAAAAATGAACACTGAACTGACTCATTATCAAGTATTACCTTTTCAACCATCATAGCACCGCTTTACACCATCACATAATCACTAAAATCATCAACTATTTTTCAAAATAAAAAAATCACAGCCTAATATGTATTACTTGTACAGTTTCTTTCTAGAAAATAGGTGGAGTAAAAATGGGAGATGCCAGATTTCACAAAGATGTCAAGTTTTACATTTTGGTTCAATGTAACTGAATTGGCAAAGACCATTAAAGCCAACAACCATCAAACAAAGATAAAAGCATTCTATAACCAAGTAAACACCTGCTATATCCTTTCCCTTTAAGAATTTTAAATAAGGTCACATTTATTCATTCAACAAGCATTTATTGAGCACCTGAAACTGTGCTAGGTGCCAATAAATATAACTGTGAACAAGATAAACCAGGCTCCTGCCTTGACCAGATATGTCTGCTTTAAATGATCTTGTTAACTACTACATATTTAATGTTCTCTGCTAGGATTATATTTTTTGGAAAGTCAGTCATATGAGGCCTCTTCTGGAATACATTTAAAGTTTCTTTATGGCAAACTTGATAGAGATCTTTGTTAACTTAGAGAAGCAATAAAGATGGTCTCCAGCAACCTTTCCACAAGTGTGTTAGCCTCCTGAGCTGCAGGAGATCGAGTTAGCTTTCAAGCAATATGGCGGCAGGCGACCAAGGACGCAGTTTAGACCATTCTGTTGCGCTTGTGGGTTGGGGAGTCTGTGATGCCATCACCGCACTGGGCTGAGGTGCGCTTACGGATCCCCCCACTGTCCAGGCGGAGGGCCAGTTCTTCCGAGGCGAAGGGATTCAAGTCGTCCTCGAAGAAGCTACTTTTTCGGCGCCCATTGCTGGCAACACCGCTCTCTTGAGGCGGGGAGCCAGGTGGACCTGATCGCACGCTGATGCTGGCCATGGCGCCATTGAGGCCGTGCAGGGCGATGGCCTCGTGGAAGGGCTGTAGGTCGACGTCCACCGACGAGCTGGACTCAGTGGCCACTGCCTGGCCCGGGGCCCCGGCGGGCGGTTTCGGGGGCGTCCTGGGAGTACGCGGCGGGGGAGGAGCGGGGGGCACTTTGCCACACAGGAAGCTAATCAGATCTTCGCGACGAATGATGCTCCGGCCCTTTTTTGCCCACTCCAGCACATCTTTGACGCGACGCTGGTAGCCAACCTGGATGCCCAGGTCAAAACTTCGTTGGTGGGCAACCCCGCTCTCTTTGTAGAGGCTGGTCACGGCCATGGCCGCGTTCTGGAAGGGGTCCCACAAGGAGAGTCCTGCCTGCTGGCGCCCAGAATCCTTGTAGAGCTGGGCCACGGCAGTGGCTGAGATCTGGAAAAGATGCCACAGCCTCTGCTGCTCGCTCTTGAGCCCCGCCGCCTCCTCCTGCATCTCGGGGGGCAGCTGCTCTTCCTGCTCGGCCTCGGCCAGGCACTGGCGCT